TTAGAACAATTTATGATAGAAGAATGAGATAAAATTCCAAATAAGATTTTAAATAATTGAATTTTCAAAAATTCAGCATATTATTTAGTTTATCTAGGTTGTTATTTTTAACATGTAAAATGAACAAATTAATCTGATAACCCAAATAATTTTTTAATTATATATAATAAATTCAAATAAATTGTTACAATTTCAATTATAAATTTATAAATGCTTTTTGTTGTAATCTTTGACAAATTAAACCTTATATTTCAATAGAAATAATATTAAATAAAATTTTTAATATAATCATATCAAATTAAAATATCTTTATATAAATATTTTTGATTCATGTAATCAAAATTAATTTTTGCTAAAATAATTAAATAACAAAAAAATTAATTTAATTAAGATTTTTATTATATTTACAATTTTGTATAATTTTTATAACTTTAATGATTTTTATAATTTTTTCTATAATTATTAATTAGTTAGTTTATTTATTATATCAAAAATTAACTGATTATATTAATTTATTTATTAGTATTTAAGATTAAAACTTAAATCTTAGTAATACTGATTGTATTGCTTAAGTAAATTATTTCTTGTATATTAATAATTATAAGTTCATTATTTTTATATATAGTATATTATTATTATTATTATTATTAGGTTTATTTTATATTAATAAATAAATTTCTTTTACTTGTAATATTAAAAACACAAAAAAAACTTTTCTTTTTTATTTTTCAAATTCCTTAATTTTATGTTTTATGTTTTTTGTACAGTTTTGTTAATTCTCTTGAAATAGCAATTATAAATAAAAAAAGTTTATGAATTATTAAATATAAGTATAATTAAATATCAAATACAAGATATTTTTTATTTTAATTATTCTATATTATATTATTCATATTAGTTGCAATATGTTTATAGAATTATAATAAAGTTTAAAAAACTTAATTATTTTAAGAATTAAATAAAAAATTTATTTTATAATCTGAAATAATAATAATATATGGTAAATAAAAAAAAATAAAAATAAAAAAATAATTAAGTAAAAAATCTTGAAAAAAAAAACTTTGTAGCAAAAAGAAGTTTTTAGCTAAAATCAAATGATATACTGTATATTAAACTTGTTAACTTATCCGGTGTTATATAAATTAGATTATATCTGTCCATACACTTTATATTTTAATATAAACATGTAATTAATAATTACTTTAATAAAAATTATAAGACAAATCTTACTTTAACATTTAAAAAAAATTATAATATATGATTTATAATTAAAAGTATTTAAGATAATATTTAAAATTAGTTTAAGCTATTCTAATTTATTTGTAAATAAAACCATAACAAAATTTTTTATTATAGTATAATATTTCCAAAAAACTTTTTAAGTTAAACTTGTAAATTAACAAATAAAAAAAAATAGAAAATAAATTAATAAAATAATAAATAAATAAATAAAAGATACCAGTTATAAAAATAACTTATTTATTTGAAAAAAAAAAATAGAAAAAATCAAAAGAAACTATATATTAACCTTCACTTTGTTTTGCCTTCATGTGATAATTTATATAAAGGTATGGATTGCAACGAGTGTTTGTTCAAAAAAAGTTTCTTATAATTACTTTATTTATATATATAAACCGACATTTGAAAACAGCAAACTACATAAATCGCAATAATGTATATATTTTGCAAGGAATTTGTAATTATTATAAAGGGGAATTCACTTTGGATTCAAAATAGTTAATTTTAAGCTGAAAAAAAGTAAAGCATATCTGAATTTTGTATCATTTTTTTCCCCTTTCCGCGGCTCCTCCAATAAAATATCGAATCTTTGTCTTAAACCTTTGAGATGTCATATTAGTACCGCGTGCTTTTAACAAAGGACTTTTTGCGCACACATCTTTCCATTGACCCGCTAACACCGAATTTATAGCGTTGAATAATGCTTCATCCTCTTCTGACGTCCAAGCTAGTCGAGGTCTGCGGACCCTTTTGGATGAGGTGGCAGAAGTCAAAGGTTGAGACGTAGATTCCAAATCGGAAAATTTTTTTTTTCGATATGAATTTGCAAAAAGTGATGGTTCATAATGCTTTTTATCAGTGGAATATTAAACAAAATGGTCAATGTGAAAAGAGTTCGTCAGCGAAATGTTAACGTCTTAATGTCATTTTTTTAATATTCATGAAATAAAAATAATTTGTTTAGCCTCAAAAGCTATCTCGATTTAAAAAAAATACCTCTTTGTTTATTTTTTCTTCTAACTTCGACTCTTCTTCTTTGATAGACATGCCTTTTAATCGAAGAAAAAATTCCTACTATCACCCTTTAGTCAAAAGTTACACTTATCAAGAAACTCTAATAAACCATAAACATTATTCTTCATATTATATAACTCAAATACAACTACTTCCTTCCTTCTTCAAAAAAAAAAAAAAAAAAAACTCAAAAACCAACATTTTTTCTCCAAAACATAAAAATTCTACTCTTACAAAAAAAAAAAAAAAAAAAAAAAAAAAAAAAAA